AGGCACGCGATCTGCGGGGGGTGTGCAGGTGCTCGGGGAGGGAATTCGGTAGACTCAGGCTGGTGGCTCGCCCGACACGCTGCGGCATTTTAGGAGCCAAGCTTTCTGGACTCTTGGGCAGGTCACTTCCCAGTGATGGTTGACACGCTTAGGGACCGGAAGCATGGATCTGAGCCAGGCCCAACGCCCGCATCTACCTTTTAAAATGGACTAGGTCACAGCAGATCACATTCCAGAGATCTAGAGTTCTGGAAGTTTGGTAGAGGAAGCGACCCCACCCAACCAAGCCTCCCCCCCCCCCCCCCCTTTTTTTTTTTTTTTTACTTCTAACCTGTTTCTGTCCCTTGAACATTCTGTTCCAGTTCAAATGAGATAGCTACGGAGTTCCCTAAGGACATGTAAATGCCAGGATGAAGTCTGGGGCTTGACTACCTCTACAGTGTCTTGTCAACCCATGTCACTTACAGCGGTTCTCAACCTGTGGGTCGCGACCCCTTTGGCGGTCAAACGACCCTTTCACAGGGGTCGCCTAAGACCATTCTGCATATCAGATATTTACATGACGATTCATAACAGTAGCAACATGACAGTGATGAAGTAGCGACGAAAATAATGTTATGGTTGGGTCACAGCATGAGGAACTGTATTGAAAGGGCCAGAAGGTTGAGAACCACTGCATGCTATATTGCTTTGACTCTTCCAAGTGCTCCCACTGTATCCTTAGGACAGCCCTGTGGTAGAAGGTTATTACTGGCACAGGATCCTGGAGTGACCTGTCCAACATCGCCCTGCACTTTCCAGTCCTAGAGCTGGGGGCTGGGGGCTGGATTTCTAGTTGAAAACGCCAATGCCTGTCCTGTTTCCTCCCGCGATCTTTTCCTCCGAGCCGTACCCAAGGCGAGCCGTGAAACAAGCAAGCAGATTTCCCACTGACAATGAATTCTCAAACAGCCAGTGTGGAACAACAGGTGAAATGTGGCTAAAAAAAAAAAATGTATGTCCATTCCTAGATAAGGCAACAATCGAGAACACAGGGAATCCCAGTAATTTCTCATCTGAAAAGTTAAAAGAATATCTTGTTTGGAAAGTGATCAGATCACCCTGTAGTTCATTTTATAATGAATTATAGATTGTTTGTGCTCCTTTTAAATTCTCACATTTTCCATTCAGAAAAGCAGGGAGCACATTTTATTTTATTTTTTTACAATGGTGATGTGATTTAGCTTAGAGTAAGACATATATTTCTTATGTGTTTAGTATTTTTTGTTTTGGCAGTGGATATACTGTGCAACCACCACACCCAACAAGATATAAGACACTTCCATCACCTGGAATAACATCTCCAGGGTATCTTTCTTAATGTTTCACTATTCAAGCTCTGTGTTAAGGAAGGGAGACAAAATGTGCGGTGTAGACTGTAGCAATATCTTGCTGTGTCGATATTGACTTGTGGGACAGGTGACTATTTAATTTAAAAATATGACTCTTTCAACTCCTTTCTCTCCCACCTTCTACCTAAACCCTGGTTAGGCACCTCTTTATAATACAGTTCTCTTTGAAAGAGCCTACCCTGTTTTCATCTGGCAGCATACGACTCACCCTTATGACGCCAGAGTATAAAATAGTGCCTAGCACTTAATCAGTGTTTTTGAATGAAATTCTTAAAATCATGCTTGATTTTGCAGAATGAATGTATTCCAGACAACTGGAACCTTTATTTTCTAGTTTATCTGTGCAGCCATCCTGTCATTCATCATTTCTTACTGGGCTATTTTTTTATGCATTGATGGGACATTTACTCTACTATGCATGTAAGTTTCATGTCAGTGGTGAGATCCCCGTGCCCATGGGGATGCTACTACTAAGTTGTTACTTGTTGGCAGGTTTTACATACATATCATATCATCTTATGTAAAATCTTTTGAGATTTTATTTTTATTATTGCATTTTATAGATGGTGAGAGGGGCAAATATAATTTAAGTAATGTGCCCAGGTGTCATATTTGCAGTATGATTCCAGTATATTTACAAAAATTCTTAAATAATCCACATATACTGCCTATGTAATGTATAATACCTTAAGGAATAATGTACAATATCTTAAGGAATATGTGAACTGGAAAGAATATGCCTGGATTTGTTAACCAACCTGGAATTCCTGATGTATTTAACTCTCATATTGACTACTGCTTTTAGGCACCAATTGGGTAATTTATCTCTTTGTTAACAATTTGCAAAGTAGAATAACTATATTTCATAGTAAGGAAGCCTAAAGAAGAAGAGTTTTATACAATTAAATAATAAAGATCCTGTGACTTTTTATGTGTCGGGAAAGGAATATATACGTTTTGTTCAAGTTAATCTTATAAGTGATTCATATTATGTTTTTATAAAGAAAGTTATAATAGCTTGAGTGTCTACTACTTCCTGCCTCATCACTCACATACATTTTTGAAATTAGGATCCAAAGTATATCAAAATTGGTTAATCTAATGTTAACTTTTTAAAATTTGATTCATTTGGTGGACAAATAACATTTAGTATTAAGATACACTTTTCTTTATTTTTACATTATTAATAATTTATAATTAAAGTCAATTTCTGGGGATTTGGAGGAAGTATATTTAAAGATTGAACTAAACAAATTTTAAAATTAAGTCCTTGATAATTAGCATATTGAACAATACTATCTAACTTGATGTGGCTTTGCTTTTAAAAAACATTAAAGTAAACTGTTGATTCGGTACCTTTGTTTCTATAGTTTCATTCCTATTTGGTATTTTTATTATATATATATTTTTAGGTCTGCAAAACTGCATAGTAAAAAATGTTCATTTTAAAATAACGACTCTTTTTTATTGTCTTTAATTTCATGTCAGGTTTGTTTGAGTCAAGTTTCTGTTTCAACAATTAGAAATCAAAGCAATGGCCGGTATGATTTTGGGCAGATGACTCATTGATCTTGCTATAGCTTCTTAGCATCCATATTTATGGAAACCTTTAAACCACCTTCAATAGTATGCCCTTACCTGACACACTTATTAACTAACCACTTAGAGCAGTGGTCGGCAAACTGCGGCTCGCGAGCCACATGCGGCTCTTTGGCCCCTTGAGTGTGGCTCTTCCACAAAATACCACGTGCGGGCGCACACGTACAGTGCGAAGTTGACTTACAACT